ACCGCCAACGACATTACGTTTTCAACTTCAACCATAACTACAACTACAAGGACAACAACAACAACAACAGCAACAAGTGTAAATGACAGCCGCCAACGAGCAGTGAACACCGCACCACAGCAGGAGACAGACACAGCCAGCATCTTGTACGGAAAATGGGACGCGGCACCGCAGCGGGGCGACACATTCAGCCGGCATCGTGTGTAAATAATAGGACGCGAGGGCCGACAAAAAAAGACAAAAAAAAAAAGGACCGACATAAAACTCCACCCAATTTAGGGTCTAGGGTTTCGGGTTTCGGGTTTAGGATTTAGGGTTTAGGGTTCAGGGTCTAGGGTTGAGGAGGATACCATCTCGGATCCACCTTGCCGTCCCAATTTCTCCGAAGCCATAGGGCCTTTTGCGGGGGGTTGAGGGTTGGGGCTCAGGGTTTAGGGGGGTTGACGGCGTGGTTATTGGTATAAGTTTTTTTTTTTGTGGTTTAGGGCACGGGTGGGCGTAGGATTTGGGTTTAGGGCTTCAGGCGTTCTGCCAGAATTCGATCGCTTTAAGATGGCTGTCCACAGTGGTTCGGAGGGTTTTGGTTTGGACCCAGGGTCTCGGCCTGGGTTGGCAGGGTGTTGCTAGGGTTGCGAGGTTCCTGAACCCTGATTTAAATGGGTTTAGGGTTTAGGGTTTAGAGTAAATTTCTAAACCCCATGCCCTGAAAACAACCCAAAGAACTGAAGCTTTTCTACGGGGGCTTGAGGAGGAAAGCCGGTGTTCAATCGGTTTTGATCCGGCTTGTGTATGGGTTCGTTTGGGCTTAAGTAGGCCCCTTAGTAGTTCCTTTTTGTGGCTTATATTTAGGATCCCATTAGGTAATCCCAAAAAGGAACTATTACGGGCCTACCCTAGACTTTATAGGGTTTGGAGTTTATGGTTTCGTGTTTGTAGGGGTTTCAGCCGCGCCTTGGAAATCCTGCGCCTCCTTTGCCTTTAACACCGAAGATCGCCTAAGCCCACTGCCGAGAATGCACGTAGGGCCGGCGGATTCGGATTTAGGGTTCGGTCTTAGGCTTTCATGGTATTTATGTAAGTATGTATTTTTGAACTTTCATTTATTGAATGTATGTATGTATATCTGTACATAGAGGAACATGTACACATAGACATGCATGCTACATGTTCTGTCTATCTATTAGCTCTCTATATTTGTATGTGCCCTTCTCTCTCTCTCTCGCTCTCCGTCTCTCTCTCTCTCTTTCTCTTTTTCTCTCTCTCTCTCTCTCTCTCGCTCTTCGTCCTAAACCCTATAAAGCCTATGTCTGTGCCTATACCCTTCCGTGGCAAGGATGGGGATGTGCTGGTGTATGCCACTACCAGGGGCAAGAGCAAGGCCCGGTTTTCTTGTGCTTTGGATTCCCTAAACTCTAAACATTTAACTCTAGACCCCTTTTGGGGTTCCTATCTTGTGAGGACTTCGCAGAAGTTGCTACAAAGCCAAACCGAAGCTACGACCCTGAAGCCCCCCACCCCCGAAAACCCCAAACCCCAAGCCCTCAACGCTAAACCCGAAACGCTAAACCCTAAACCCTAAGCCCTAAACCCTAAACCCTAAACCCAAAGCCTCAGAAAGATCTGCCTTTGGGAAGAAGGCCCTCACGTCCCTGTTGCTCTGCATACTTTCAGACCCCCAGTTCTGAGGCCAAAGCCCCCTGATCCGTTCTTGTTGCTCATAAGTTCGGCTTAAGGGTTCAGGGTTTAGGGATGGCGGTTTCAGAGACCCTTACCGTACCCGGTCAACGGGCAAGGCATGCGACCTGGCGCTGAAGTTTCCGCACGTCTCGGTGCTGCCGTTTAAACTCCACAGCTTCCGAGGCGAAGAAGCGCACGGTTTGAGTTTTTGAGGTCGAACTTGGGGCTTTTGGATTCAGGGTCTTTCAGGTTGGGGTTAGATGGTGTTAGATGGGTTTTGGGATTTGGGAGTTTGGGGTCCTAGGGTGAATAAAGCTTCACAGGGATCAGGCTTCGGGAAGGGATCTCGGGCAGCTATGCGCTGCGACGGCGGCCGTGCGTGTTCAGACACACAGATCAATGTGTGTGTGTGTGTGTGTGTGTGTGTGTGCGCGTACATCTTTACATCTGTGTATACACATGTACAAGGAATATATGCATTTGCACCTGTTTATCATGCATTCATATATGCATATGTGTATATACATTACCCATGATAGCTATATTCATTTGTCTATTTCATGTGTATGAATATGTATAGATATCTACACATTTGCATGTAAACACATACATGTATATCTGTATACGCATATGTATGTATTTCTACAGCATGCATGTACGTACGTACGCACGCACGCACGCACGCATGCACGCACGAACGCACACACGCACGCACGCACGCACGCACGCACACATGCATGCAGGCAATCACGTATACGCCTGTGCATATATATGATAACCTGAAGTTCCAACGTTTCGTTGACTTTTTATGTACATGCACTGATGCATGCATGGCATACATGACTACATATATCATACTTACCTGCATGCATACAGACTTGCATGCCTAAGCCATGCATAGGCGCACAAATGCAACAATGCATGCATGCATGAATGCATGCAAGCACAGCTTACACACACACACACAGACACAAGAACGCACACATGTTATGATGCACACCGTGCCTGCATTCTACATACATACGTAGTGCGACAGGTTCTCGCAGACATGAATGCTGTCGACATACATGCATGCATACATGCACACATACGTATGTATATAGATATATACATACATATTTTTACATACATGGTAGATGCACTTGTACCTGTACACGTGCATGTGGCGCAATAGGCACAGACATAGTTGTAGAAATATGCGGTTGCATACGCGCATCCACCTGCAAAAGCGCATACACGAACAGACTAACCCAGCGACTCCAATATCCCTTAACTAGGGAATATACCTTAAATTATAGTAGGATCCCTAATACTAATAGGATTTGAGGTATCCTCCTTAGTTAAGGGATATTGGAGTCGCTGGGAATGCAGATACAGACCCGCCAGACCCAGGGGCGGACGGACAGACAGACATGTCACAATGCTCGCAGACATGTTCATACCTGTCGCTTTGTATGTGTAGTTAACGATGGTGAGTACCAGGGTAATGACAAGAATGCATAACAACCTCGAAGCCCATTTTGGCATCGTAGCCTTGTTTGGGTGTTGCAATTGTGTCTCATTATGATGTGGCTTTCAAAGTTTTCACAGTGGGCGTTTCCGCGATGTCGAAAGTCTCTCGGGTTCTTTTGGTTTTGGCAAGTACGATGTCTGTGTTTGCTTGGACCTCCTCTTTTTTCCGATCGGCCTGCCTGGAGTTGAATTCTGCCCCTGACGTGAAACTGCGCTGTCGAGCTTGGGCCACACAGGTCACGTCATGGCCTTACCGACCCCGCCGGATGACATGGAGAAGAAGGACTTGCACCACATTTCAACCACCGCAATTGCCACCAACCTCCAGATCCTAAAGCCGCGAAGCCACATGAAGTCTATAACATATGCGATTACACTCGAAGCTTCGAAATGTCATTACCATCGTCGTCATCATCAGCATCATCATCGCCGCCATCATCATCATCATCATCATCATCATCATCATCATCATCATCCTCATACCCATCCTTGTCCTTATCCTTACGCTTATCCTTGACCTTATGCTTACCCTTATTCTTAGTCTTATCCTTACCCTGATCCATATCCCTAGCCTCATCCCCATCCCCATTGTCAACGTCATCGTCACTCAGTAGCTGAGTGGATACACTTTACACTTTTTGGGATAATATTACCTACTATAAAACTGAAAGTGTACACTTTTCTGGGGTTATGATGTTGCTGCCACCAGAGTCATGGCATGACCAGACCATGGTCATCTGTGCAACAGAAGTCAACAGGGGTTTCGGGTTTAGGGTTTTAGGGGTTTAGGGTTTAGGGTTTAGGGCTCAGGGGTTTAGGGCTTAGGGATTATGCAAACAAGACTGAGCAGCCCGGGGCGTGACGACTGACGTTTTTACCACGACCGAAGCCTCTCGAATCCGCAACTCTGCGGGCTCTGCAGAAGTTACTCTCTGGATCCCTATACACTTTAGGGTTTAGGGTTTAGGGTTTAGGGTTTAGGATTTAGGGTTTAGGGTTTAGGGTTTAGGGTTTAGGGTTTAGGGCCTTGAATAGATCTATCCACAACCTTCTCTTTCCCCAGCCCTCATCTCGGCGCCACTTGCATCCCACGCATCCCGCCACGGCCCAAACCACAAAACCCTAAACCTTGAGCCTATCTTTCCCCGCAGATTGATAGCTTGTACTTACGACCCTGGGCCACTCTAAGAATTCTAAGACTCTCCAGGACGAATATGTCAGGGAGATTTTCTTCTTCAATGTGGTGCTGACCTTGCTGGGCACAGGATTCGGGGTTCAGGATGTGGGGTTTAGGGCTCAAAGATTTTTTGTGCTACAGGTATGGGGGTAGCAATATATGTTGTGCACCATTCCGGGCTAGATTAGTCTGATGATTATCTTAAGGATTCGTTGCCAGAAGTCTAAAGCAGAATCCTGCCTATAATCGTGCCCCGGATCCTATCTAAAGCAAACTGTTATCGTTTTTCGTCAAGCCGAAAATGCCAATCCACCGGCATGGGCAGGCCGTCGGTGGGTGTTCCGGACTAGGCACCCTAAACCCTAAACCCTAAACCCTAAACCCTAAAAATTACCCTAAACTAGGGTTCCAGCCTGAAGCCCTGGAGCCTACGGAAACGCCTTCTGATCCTAGGACATTTCCAGGTGGGCAGCTACCGTTATAGGAGCCTTATAGAAGGTCTATATACCTTATAGAGTTATAGAAGCCTTATAGAAGCCCTATATACCCTAAACTCACCACCTGTAGTTTCCTTTAACTCTGATCCTGACAAACGCGAGCCCAGAAAGCCAGAGATCCCAAATCCTGAGCCCGAAAAGGGTTTGAAAGCCCTAATATAGGGGCCTTAATAATTGCCTATACTATTTTGGGGAATCCTTATTAAAAACATTTAAAAGCAAAAGTATAAGGGGCCCCAAAACCTTAACAAAATGATTAATGCCCCTACATTAAAGTTCTCTAGAGCCCTAAGAGACCCAGGCCGCCATGGAAAACGGCTACGGGTCGGCGCCCTCGCGAGCCATCACCCTTCAGGTCCCTCATAAACTGCAGGGGCAGTTCGGTGTTGTATGCGTGTATACGAAGAATGCATCCGAAGAAGTAAACGCGTATATTTCGTTTCTTGATATGTACATGTCCGCCAACATGTCAGTCAACCAGGCAGGCAAGCAAGCAAGCAAGCAAGCAATGACGTCAGTCAATCAATCGAGATCAATCATTCATTCAATAATGGCCCCTGTCTATCTATTATCTCCATCTATGTATCTTTCTGTCTCTCTGACTGCCTGACTGTCTATCTGTCGTTCTATCCATCCATCTATGCATCTATCCGTTGCATGTATCTGTTTATGAACGGGCGGAGGGAAGACATGTACCTTGTACTCTGTACTTAGGGACTTGCTTTCAGGCCTCATAATCCTTAAACCGTCAACCTCAAACCCTAGACCCCCCAACCTCAAAACCTGAACCCTCAACCTCAAACCCTTAAACCCTCAACCTCAAACTCTAAAGGCACCCTAAAACCCTAAACCCTTAACCTGAGCCCGACCCACCCTAAACTTACTCAACCCTAAACCCTAAACCCTAAACTTACTCAACCCTAAACCCTAAATTCTAAACTTACTCAAGCCTCAGGCCTCCTTCAAGCCCAAGCAGCCGGAGAACTTAGCCCTGCTGGGCCAGCCGACGGCCGGCCCTGGCGCGCAGGGAGGAGCGGTCTCCGAAGCTTCGATGTCTCCCTCATGGAGGGAGTTGTGGCCTTTTGGGGTTTAGGGTTTCAGGGTTTCAGGGTTTCAGGGTTTCAAGGTTTCAGGGTTTCAGTGTTTCAAGGTTTGATGTTTGAGGCTTTGGGTTGGCCTGGGCTTACTAACTCTGAACCTGAGTCGTAAGCCCGCCCTACTCGTAAATACCGTAAGCCAGCAGCAAGTCCCGAGTCCAACTCCACTACCCGGACGCCCCAGCTCCGGCATCCAGCGCTGGAATATGGGGTTTAGGGTTTAGGGCTTCATGACTATTTCGGAACATTGCTTCTCAGGCCACGATCATTTAAACGGATAGACTCTCCCGAACAACCAAAGTCGAACTATGCAAGCCTTTATATAGTTGCGACCTTTAACCACAGCCGCACGCAGGAGGAGGTGAAAAGGCCAAGTCGCAGATCGCCATCCGCTTCAAAGATATGTGCCTCAGCTGCCTAAACCCGAGAAGCTAAACCCTAAACCCCTCAGCTTTGCAAAGATTGGCTTTTGGGGGCCGGCAAGTCAATTGCCTGAGCCAAACGGGTTAGGGTTTGGGGCGTAGGGTTTAGTGTTTAGGGGAGGCCACGTCCTCAAGAAACCTTCACGCCCTAATCCCCGGACCCTACAACTTCCCCAACAAAAAAATCACAGAAACCCTAAATAACCCTAAACCCTAAGCCCTAAACCTTAAACCCTAAACCCTAAACCCTAAACCTTATCAGCCCTAAGAATCATGAAAAGCCCTTTAAGGCCATGGAGCTCTGAAGCAGCTCTGTTGCTGCAGGCCTCCCTTCCTAATTAGCTCCGTTTCGGGTTTGCGGGGTCTAGTGGGCTTAGGGTTTAGAGGTTCGGGTTTAGGGCTTTAGGGTTTAGAGCTTTAGCGGCTTTAGGGTTTAGGGTTTAGGGCTTAATTAAGGTTTAGGGTTTAGGGTTAAAGCTCAGGGATTAGAGTTTACGCACCCCCTAACCTCTAAAAGCGGGTTGAGAGTTGCAGCCCAAGCCGCTTAAAGTCCATGAGTCCTTTTCCCAAAAACCGGAACTTCCGAGTGAACTCAAGTCAAAGCCTAAAGCCAGGAGCCCCAAAAGCACTAAGCTGGTCCTCTGGCTCTCAGAAAAGCTATAAACCCCCTCAAGCCCCAAGCCCTAAACCCTCAACCCTGAACCGCAAGCCGGCTTCTCTGTTCCGATTTCGGATGTGGGTTCGGGGTTGGGGGGACTTAGGATATTGGAGTTTAGGGCACAGCGGTCGGAAGCTTGTGGCTGAGTGGTCATCATCTTGATATAACCGTAAATCAGGAATCAACCATTGGTAATAAGATCTCCTTCTAGTCTCTCCCTCTCCCTCTCCCTCTCCCTCTCGCTCTCGCTCTCGCTGTCGCTCTCTCTCTCTCTCACTCTCTCCCTCTCCCTGTGCATGTGACATGTATGTACATATATATATATATGCACATTATTTCTTTATATGTTTGTTTCCAGGTCTGTACAATTCGATGCAGCGAGACAAGAGTGCTCGCACAGTACAACAAGCGCCTTTGTCAGCACGGCCGGTTCAGCTCAGCGGAGAGCTAAGGCAATCCAGTGTTGCAGGCGGTACAGGGTTTAGTGGGTTTGGGGTTTAGGGTTGACGGTTTAGGGTTTAGGGGTCTAAACCCTAAACCCGTTGGGTTTGGGGTTTAGGGTTGACGGTTTAGGGTTTAGGGGTCTAAACCCTAAACCCTAAACCCTTGGGTTTGGGGTTTAGGGTTGACGGTTTAGGGTTTAGGGTTTAGGGCTCTAAACCCTAAACCACTCTTCGGCAAAAGTATATACTACTTGGGTGCACGGAGCCTTATACCCGGCCCTAGACCCTAAACCCTAAACCCTTGGGTAGGGGCTTAGGGTTTAGGGGCTTAGGGTTTAGGGTTTAGGGTTCAGGGTTCAGGGTTTAGGGTTTAGGGTTTAGGGGTTGGGGTTTAGGGGTTTAGGGTTTAGGGTTGAGGGTTCTAGACCCGAAACCCGAAACCTTTGTGCTGGGCCCCTGCACAATCCAGCCCCTGCCATGGCTAGAAAGGAGCCTCGACATGAGCTATAGAGCCGTTTGGATTTAGGGTTTAGGGTTTGGGATTTTAGGGTTTAGGGTTTGGGGTTTAGGGCTTAGGGTTTAGGGCTTAGGGGTTGGGGTTCAGGGTTTAGGGTTTAGGCCATAACCCTAAGGGTCCACGAGGTGAAGAGAGAAACTCCCGAAATATGGCTCCGGCATGACAGAGTCCATCCATACCTTGCCATTTCCCGACACCCTAGTTCGGCATGACAGAATGCATGCACTTCAATACTCCCTGAAACTTTAGTCCAACTATGCAGGCCCCTGCATTATATCTACAAGCCTGTGAGCCATATCTTTTTGTCTTCAAGACACCAGTGACAGAGCGTAGCTGACGCGGCAAACCCCTAAACCCGCAGCCCAAACCACGTAGGATCACGGCATCGGATTAGTGAATATGGGGTTCAAGAACAGAAGAGCCGGCGACTGCTGTCGTGGGGCCAAAACAGGAGGTTTTGAACCTGCAGGATTTCCAGACTCATGGCATCCAAAGTTGACTTTTCGGGTTTGCGGCATCTTAATCCGTTGTAGGTTTGTTCGTGATGATAAGAGCAAGTAGCAGTACCATCTGTTCCTTAGTTCTCCGACTAATTGTTATCATCCTGTCATGATGTGAGCCGAGGTTACTGCTACCGTGGCAGACGTCCCATTCTGCGCGTATTGGGCGAGCTCACAGGCGTTGCCTAGATTCCACAGTAAGTAGTGTGTTTGGAAAACCGAAAACCCAACCATCAACCTCAAACGTGAAGCCTCAGATAAACTGGCATGCGAAAGGCGCCGTTGGCTCATGCCGTGTTAGGTCGTCTTGATACGGTTGACCTTCCGTACCCTAAACCCTAAACCCTAAACCCTGTCGGGATGCTTGACATTCCGTACTAATGCTAGATCCACAAGATGATGTCAGTGTAGATCACCGAACCATGGAAGCGCATAATGTGGGGGCCTAAATAATTGCCTATACTATTTTGGGGGTTCCTCAATATAATGAAAGAAAATGGCCCCAAAACCCTATTCTAGAATTAAGGCCCCTACATTATTCACGTGCCATTTACTCCCCTACGGAAGATAGCACGACCACCACGACCACCAGCAGACCACGAGCCCTCCAAGAAACCACTAGGAGACGCGGAAAGGCCCAGGAGACCACCACCGAACCTGCAAAAAATCGCAAGGACACCACCAGGCGACTGCCAGGAGACCACAGTATATTGCAATTTATCATGAACCACAGAGGCTTGCGCCGCACTGGGAGTGTGTAAACTATGGGACATGAGCTCCAACTGTGCGCAGCCCCAACCCGACAGTGCGCACGTTAAATCCTACACACCGACCCCCAGCAACCCGGGGAATTCACAATATGTCCAGGATCATGAGGCTTAGGGAGGTCGTTAATGTCAGTCATACTTGGGGTCATGGTACCAGGTCCCCCAACTAGTACCCTCTTTTTTTTGGGTGGTACACTGAAGATAGGGTGTCAAGCACAAGTATCCTCCTTGACTCTCTGGTACACCTCGAACTCACAGGGAGTGACGGGGAGTGTTGGATTTTCCTGTTTAGCTTGGACTTGCAAACTCTGCAAACCATATCCTACAACCTGAACCCGAAGCCGCTCAGGGTTTAGGGCTGAATTCAACAATCCTGTAAATCCCAGTTTCTCAAGCTCGGTTCTGATCCGTCGAATGTCTACTTGCTTGTGATCAACTCCGCGTCAGTGAGCTTTGCCCACCACTGGTCTTGAGATCAAATACCATGCAAAAGGCGAGGGATTTAGGGTTGGGGGTGTTACGTGGAGGATCTGGGTGCAGAAGAGATGCCCGTTCTTTCTAGGGACCAGAATCGTTACAATGTTTTTCCTAAGGTTTAATCACTTGTTATAGGTATACCAGGCTGTACTCCAAAATGTGCCAGGACCCTATTCTTGTTTTGTGGTCCTAATATTTGAGGGTTGCGTCATTGATTGAAAGCCCTGTTGCTGCGTAAGTCATCTAGCTGTAAAAGCTAAACCCCAAACCCTAAACCCCAAACCAAAAACCTTAAGCCATAGCCCGAAGCCCCCGACTTCTAAACGTCCTCGCTTGACCCTTGCCCTCACCTGGGAGGGTGTTGACATGACCGATGGCGGACACGACGCACAGACGGAGCTTCAAAACAGTTTTATCACCAGACTGTGGTTTAGGCACGGTTTCGGGTTTAGGGTATGGGGTTTTGGACCCTGGACACAGGTCAGTCAGAGCATAAGAATGCTCAGCTTGTACCACTACAACAGTAACAAGGTGTCTTGTTAGGCACCGAAGACGACGTCGGGGCCGTCCGGCACAGACAAGGGAGTATCGCAGTATGTAGTACTGGCGTAGAAGTGTAGTTGCGCGCAGGTTGGCGTGGTGCCAACAGGTTCTAGTGTGGTAGCAGCGGTGAGTCCAGTGATTGGTGAACGTGATTCTAGCTACCTGATCTTCGTATGGAATCTTCATTGCTGTGGTCGTGGTCGCCGTCGCGGTTGTGGTGGTGGTCGTCGTCGTGGTCGTAGCAGTAGTAGTAAGTAGTAGCAGTAGCAGTAGTAGTGGTGGTGGTAGTCGTAGTAGTCGTAGTCGTAGTCGTAGTCGTAGTCGTAGTCGTAGTCGTAGTCGTAGTCGTAGTCGTGTCGTAGTGGTAGTCGTAGTGGTAGTGCTGGTGCTAGTGCTAGTGGTAGTGGCAGCAGGAGG